GGGGGGGGGGGGGGGGGGGGGGGGAGGCTTTGTTCTGCCTGTGGGTGCCCACCCCACGGCGGTGGCCTGGCAGCACCCGGGTCGAGGTTCTGTCCTACACTCCGGCTGTGGCTATGGGCAGTCAGTGCATCACAGAACTTGGTCCCGGGAGCTCGGCAGCGACGGGGACGACGTGGGGACTGCTGACAAAGTTGCTGTCCCCCCATGTCCTCGGTGCCACCCGATGGGGGTGGGGAGAGGTGAGGGAACGGCACGGGGATCCCAAAGGGTGTCGGGTTTGGGGTGGCACGGTGTGATGGTTGGTGGCTGTGCCCTCCTAGGAGCCGTCTCTGTACACGGTCAAAGCTGTCATCATCTTGGATAACGATGGAGATCGGCTCTTCGCCAAGGTGAGGGGGGGGGTGGTGGCATGGAGGGGACAAGGAGGTGGGATTGGAGGGGTGTGGGGATGGGGATTGTGGGCACAGAGGGATAAAAGGGTGAGGGATGGGGAGGGCGCCAACATGGGGAAGGTGGGGATGGATGTAAAGGGATGTGGGCGCAGGGATGGCGCACAGATGGGGACACGGGGCGGTGGGACACACAGACACCTTTGGTGGCCCGGGGAGCAGGTTGGTGGCCCACTGTAGGGTGGTGTGGGGCCTTTTGGGTGCTTCACATCCCCACTGTCCCCACAGTACTACGATGACACGTATCCCAGCGTCAAGGAGCAGAAAGCCTTCGAGAAGAACATCTTCAACAAGACCCACCGTACAGACAGTGCGTGTCCTGGGGGTGGGGGGAGAGGGGGGCTGTCCCTCCCCACCTTGGGGACATCACAGCCATCCCTGGTGGCCGTGGAGGTGACGCTGCTGTGCCCACAGGTGAGATTGCTCTGCTGGAGGGACTGACTGTTGTCTACAAGAGCAGCATTGACCTCTACTTCTACGTCATTGGCAGCTCCCATGAGAATGAGGTGGATGGGGATGGCGGGGGGTGACAGGGTGGGGGCACCCAGGGGTGCCAGGATAGGAGGGATGTGTGGGGTGATGGGGTTGGGGACACTGGGGTGGCACGTTGGGGGTATCTGTGGTTCCAGGGCAGGGTGGGGACAGTGGGGTGGTAACTGGGGATGTGGGGAGGGGGCACAGAGGTGGGGGATGCCAGGGGAGGGGCTGACAGTAAGGGTGGGAGCTTGGGATCATAGGGGACAAAGGGAGGGGACATTTTGGGCCATCAGAGCTGGGGGACACAGAGG